TCGATTGTGAAAGCTCGGAGGCTAGCACGGTTCATACGTAACGCTTTACTTGGAGCCAACTTTGACTGCTCACAACTTCCTTGGCAGGTTCATTTTGCAGTTTTAGTTTCCATATTTGTAATCAGCGTTTGAAGCTCTATCGATATATCTGGGTCTCAATCAAAGTTCCATGGGAAGTTAAAAGCCTTTCCTGATAAGGAGTAGTTAAAGAATTGGCTGCAATCCCACATACTCTTCAGCTGTTTTGTGCAACCTTTTTCAACTTCTCGTCCGTTTCTCATTTGTTCTTGTTATTCAGTACTTCTCAAATGAACAAGGTAACCTCGTGATTGATCTTTGGTTAATTCGCGGTTATCTGACTCCCTATTCCATGATTAGCCCCCTTGATCACCACGTCTGATTAGATGTCAAGGGTAGTTTGCTAGCGTCCCATTTGATATGCTATGCATCACGTTGTGAAAGATGTGCTACTGGATTTTGTTTCTCTGGCATTTCTAAAAGCATTCAATGAAACTGAACCTCGTTCTTGTGGTTCGTTTTACATACCTGAAAATATGCAAAAACCATACTAAAATCTTCTTCTTCTTCTCCCTAGCGTTAGTCCCGCGCAGTCGCAGGGTCCGCTGTTTTTGTCAGCCGTCGCCACTTTGCTCTGTCCAGGGCATCTTCCATCGTGGCCGCGACCTCACCTAGGTCCTTCTTGATTACGTCTTTCCACCTTTTCTTCGGGGCTCCTCGCGGTCGCTTGCCTTGTACTTCGAAGTCCATCGCTGTTCTTATCGGATGGTCCTGTGGCCTCCTTAGCACATGCCCATACCATCGCAGACGCTGTCTCGTACCTTCAGCTGGACAGGGGCAGTCTGCATGACCGCTCTGACGTCCTCGTTTCTGAACCTGTCCAGCCGCGTCCAGCCGCAGGCCCATCTCAGCATCCTCATCTCAGCGGAGTGAAGCTGCCTTTCGTGATTCTTGTTCAGGGGCCAGCACTCGCTGCCGTATAGCATCGCAGGCCTTACCACTGTCCGGTACACCTTCCCTTTGAGCGCTCTGGAGCACCTTCGATCGCAGAGGATTCCAGTGGACTCCCTCCATTTCATCCATGCCGCGTTGACCCGTGCCTTCACTGCCTGATCCACACTTCCGTCGGCTGCCAGATCGCTCCCAAGGTATCGGAAGTCCTCCACTCTTTCGATGGTCTCACCATGGCCGTCCACGATCGGCTCTGCACCCTCTTCGGAGCTCAGGAACTTGGTCTTCTTGACATTCAGCCGTAGCCCACCTTCTGCCAGGACTTTCTGCCATTTCTGCACCTTGGCTTGAAGTTCCTCTCTGCTATCCGCTATCAAGGCGACGTCGTCAGCGTAGAGGATAGTCTTCAGTGGTCCCTCCATGAGCCCTTCACCAGGCCATCTAGTGTTAGGAGGAAGAGGAACGGGCTCAGAGCTGACCCTTGGTGCACCCCGACCGTGATGTCCACCTCCTTCGTTAGGCCGTATGGGGTGCGTATAGCTGCCTTGGCTCCTTCGTACATGTCCTTCACCAGAGAGATCAGGTGTTCTGGCACGTTTCGTTCCCTAAGCGACCTCCATAGCACTGCTCGCGGTAGCCGGTCGAACGCCTTTTCCAGGTCGAGGAAGGCTAGGTAGCAGGGTCGGCGCTTTTCTCGATACTTCTCCATCACTTGCCTAGCGATGAAGATGGCATCCGTTGTAGACCTTTCGGGCATGAACCCGAACTGTTCCTGGGAGATCGGGACCAGCTCCCGCAGTTTCGAGTCGACCAGTCGCTCGTACAACTTCATGGTATGCGCAGTCAACTTGATGCCGCGGTAGTTGGAGCAGTCCATCGCGTCACCCTTCTGCTTGAAGATGGGGACGATAGTGCTTGTTCTCCAGGCATCCGGCATCCTTCCTTCGGCAGTCACCGTATTCAGGAAGCGGGTGAGCCACCTCACCCCGTGCTCTCCCAGGGCCTTCCAAGCCTCTATGGGCACTCCATCTGGACCAACTGCCTTTCCAACCTTCATCTTCCCAAGTGCACACCGAACCTCATCCTCTGTCCAGAGTGCGATGGGACCAGCTGTGGCCTCTGCCCGTGAGTTGTTCTCGTGGGAGAACTCCTCGTTCAGAAGACCTCTGAAGTACTCTTCCCACCTCCTCCGAACTTGGGCTGGCTTTCTCAGTATGGCGCCGTTGTTGCTCTTCACGCTCTTCACCACCCTGATATCTTGAGTAGCCCGATGCCGGGCTTTGGCCAGTCTGAAGACGAACTTCTCTGCGTTTCTGCTTTCCAACTTCTCGTACAAGGCGTCCATCTCCGTGTTCTTTGCCTTGGCTACGGCGGCCTTAGCGAGCCTCTTGCAACTCTTGTAGGCAGCGAGGTCCTCGGGGCTCCGGGTCTTCTGCCAGCGCTTGTATGCTTCCTTCTTCTGCTTCACGACTCGCTGGACCTCCTCGTTCCAGAACCACGCTGCCTTGTCTCCTCTGAATCCACCTCGCGTCTCTCCCAGTACCTCCTTGGCGCATCGTAGGATGATCTCAGCTGCAGTGCCCCAAGCCTGCTGCACTGGTCCCTCAGGATCTGGGAGACCAACTTCCATTATCCTTCGCTTGAGGTCGCTCTTCTCTGCACGGTGCAACTTCCACCACCGGATTCTCCTCTCGGTTCTTACCTTTGTCTTCTTGGGGAGCTCCATGGCTATGTCTGCCAGGAGTGGCTTGTGCTGGGAAGCCAGCTCCTCGCCAGGGAGTACCTTGACGTCCTTCACAGTTCTGAGGGATGATCTTTTTACCAGCACATGGTCGATTTCCGTTTGTCGTCCTCCACTGCTGTAGGTGACCTTCTGAGTCTCCCTTTTCGCGAAGAACGTGCTGCAGATTGCCAGATCGTGGGCCGTAGCCAGGTCCAGGACCCTCTCTCCCTCGGCGTTCCTCACTCCTATCCCTCTACCTCCGTGCACCCTTTCCCGGCCTCTTCTGTCACTGCCGACGTGGCCATTCAGATCACCTGCTATGGTCAGGTAATCGCCTTCTGGAATCGTTCTTATGGCTTCGTCCAGGCTCAGGTAGAACTCGTCCTTCTCACTTTCGGGGCATCCGGCTTGCGGTGCGTACACAGAGAGTATGGTCCAGTACCCCTCCTTCGTGTCTATCCTCACAGCCATGATCCGATCGCTGATCCTGTTCACTGCGGAGACATGGTCCTTGAGCGACTCCGCTACCGCTATGGCCACACCGTTCCGCTTGGTGTCTTCCCCATTGTAGTAGAGTTTGACACCTTCCCCGATTTCCCTGGCCTTAGCACCTTTCCATCGCGTCTCCTGAAGGCATAGACCTGGATGTTCCTGCGCGTCATCAGATCAGCAACCTCTCGGGACTTCCCAGTTAGCGATCCTACGTTCAGAGTCCCTATTCGAACTAGCTTCTTTGGCCGAGGCCGTTGCCACTCCTGTTTCGCGATGGATGCGGCCCGAGTCATGTCTTCATACGAGGAGTTAGTGCAGGAACCGATTAAAGAGACTTTGATGTCAAGTGGCCATCCATTTTTCTTCGCGTTCTCACCAAATTGATCAATTGGCCAAGCAAGATCAGGTGTGTAAGGGCCGTTGACGTGTGGAACAAGAGAGTCCAAATCGAGGTCGATAACCTGAATGAAACAGGATGAGCGGATCCTGCGACTGCGCGAGAGAAGAAGAAATCTGAAGGAAGCAGGATGATACTGAAGTTTAATAACCAAACGTCAATCACAAACCCTATCATATGGAGCTCCTTCGTCTCCGACGAGAATATCCTTATACTTTTCGGCTTCGTGGGCAATTGCTTTCCGATCAGTTGCCTGAAAAAAGTATTGGTGGACAAATGATTTCAGACACCAGCGGAGTTCGTAGACTTGGCATCATGGACACCTAATTCCTCCCGTTAGTCTTGTAGTACTTCAAGAAAATGTCTTTAAAATCTTCACTTGTAGTAGGAGGAGGATATTAAGTAAGCTTGTTGGTGCTTTTGCCAGATCAAGATCCTCAGTTCTCCCTTCAGACATCCAAGCTAGTGCGTTGACCAATTTGTTTTGGGACGCGCCATGCAGTTGTGTTCGACTCAAATTTATAACGACTGTGAACTTCGTAAGTTTTGTTTTGAGGTGCGAGAACACTGCGGAGAATAAGAACGACTGCGATTGTACGGGCATGTGGTAAGGAGGCAGGAGGGTCGCTCGATGAAGAAGGCACTGGACTTCGAGGTTCAGGGGAAGCGCACCCTAGAAAATAGGTCAAGGGATATCATAGAGAAAGAGCTCATTGACGTCAGGGTAACGGCAGAAGATGCCGTATATAGGACAATTTGGCGACAGCCAACGAAATCAACAAGCTCTGGGACAGCACGGTATTGACGCTGAAAAGAGGAAGAAGAAGGAGGGTTACCCTGGCCAACCCCAAGCACCCCCCCTCTCAAAAACCGCAAATACATCCCACGCCACACCTAATCGGATGGACACGTTTTTCAGTCACTCGTTAAAGGCAAAGGTCGGGCTCAGCACGCTAGAGGAGTAATTCCCGTGCCCGGAGGTTGTATGTGGGTAGCTGCACACATTGCAGCAACTTCCCACCTTGAAAAACGTCGTTAAGCCCCCGGGGCCGTCGGTTTCAATCCGGGACCGCCTCGTCAATCCGGGACCGCCCACCTCCGGAAGTGGTGCGTGGCTGGCATAACGTGTGAAATCAGCTAGGTTGATTGCCGTATCAACCGATAGAACGACTGACATCTCCAGAAAACTTGTTTGTACGTGCCTCTTTCCCCAAGCCAGCCTCCTTCACTGCTAGTGGGAAAGAGGGTTTTGTTAACGGCCTTGTCGACGGTTTTTCTCAGTTTTTTCTCCACTGTCGTTCCACTTCGCATCTCTATACTCAGTTTCAATCGCCATATCACCTGTATCACCTGTCGTCCCGTTGATCATCGAATTGCTCGAGCGGGCGCCAGCAACGTCTCCATTCGTCCCTGTCGCGTGCAAGAGTTGTCCAGTGGACCCTCCTCGCTCGAGGGACACGGTGTCCTTCATTCCTTTCGTTCAGAGCTTTCGTGAAGAAGTCTGACCATCGGGCCGGCGGTCGTCCAGGTGTTCGTTTGACGTCCCGAGGGATCCAGTCGGTAACCGCTCTGGTCCAACGGTCATCGCAAAATCGCATGACGTGTCCGGCCCACCTTATCTTCGATTCCTTGGCGAAAACGGCAGCGTCCCTGATCTTCGATCGTTGGCGTAGTTCGGCACTCCGGATTCCCCTCTGCACTTGCGTGTATAGGGTTACTCCTAGCATCGTCCTCTCGACAGCGCGTTGGATAACGCTGACCGCATGCTCGTCCTGCCTGCGCAGAGTCCAAGTCTCTGAGGCGTAGGTTAGGGCAGGAAGGACAGCGGAATCGAAGAGGTGGGCACGGAGCCGGATGTTCTTCGTCTTCTTCACTACTCCCTCGATGTTCTTGTACGCTCCCCAAGCCGCTCGTTTCCTCCTGCTCAGCTCTGGAGCTAGATCGTTGCGCCGTGAATGGGCATCAGGAACCATTCCGTTTCTCATAAACATCCGTCATTTCCGATTTTATGGGTTCATGCGGTTTAGATCCCGACCTTCACTACAGGCGCAGCTCGAAACCTCCCCAGCCAGCATTCGCTCCGCTTGCTCGATGTTCGGCGTTATAAGAACGATGTCGTCAGCAAAACGAAGGTGGTGTAGTTGCCGGCCGTCGACCTTCACTCCCATGTCTTCCCATTCCAGTTGACGCATGACGTTCTCGAGAGCGGCGCTGAAGAGTTTGGGCGAGATGGTGTCGCCCTGTCGAACCCCTCTCTTGACGTCGATGATGACCTCCTTGTAGAATGGTGAGATTCTGGTCGTAAAGTTGCTGTAGAGCTCACGAAGAATCTTGATGTACTGAGTAGGGACGCCCTGGTTGCCCAAGGCTTCGATGACCGCTTCTGTCTCCACAGAGTCGAAGGCCTTCTTCAAGTCGATGAACGTGAGACAAAGCGGCATCTTGTACTCTCGTGAAACTTCAATGAGTCTTGTAACCGTGTGGATATGGTCGATCGTGCTGAACCCTCTTCGAAACCCTGCTTGCTCGCATGGCTGTCCTTCATCTAGTATTCTGCCGATCCTGTTAAGGATGACTCGAGTGAATAGCTTGTAGATTTACAAGAAGATACATAAGTAAATCGCCATAATCAGCCTTAATTAAGCCCGACCTTTTGCCTTTTAAAGTCCACAGTCCGGAATTGTTCGCATACGAGTTCATTGTATCACTTCCCACATTTTCTCCACAGGAATTTTCTCGACTCTCCTTTGATACCAAAGTTCGGTTTGTTGCCTCTTCTCATTAGAATGCATGCAGCCGACCGCTTTGAATGGGTTCTTTTCAATAATGGAGACAAGAAAGAGCAACAAAATAGGAAACAAAAACAGCAAGTACAGGGAAGAATATTTCAGAGAGTGAGAGCCCCCAAGGCAATAAAGAGTGCTTCCAGTGCTGAGCTCGGGAAACTGAGGAGAATCTGGTGAAATGCCACACCTGTTTCGCGATGGATGCGGCCCGAGTCATGTCTTCATACGAGGAGTTAGTGCAGGAACCGATTAAAGAGACTTTGATGTCAAGTGGCCATCCATTTTTCTTCGCGTTCTCACCAAATTGATCAATTGGCCAAGCAAGATCAGGTGTGTAAGGGCCGTTGACGTGTGGAACAAGAGAGTCCAAATCGAGGTCGATAACCTGAATGAAACATGGATGAGCGGATCCTGCGATTGCGCGAGAGAAGAAGAAATCCGAATGAAGCAGGACGGTGCTGAGCTGAACTAGGACTAGATGTCAATCACAAACCCTATCGTATGGAGCTCCTTCGTCTCCGACGAGAATATCCTTATACTTTTCGGCTTCGTTGGCAATTGCTTTTCGATCAGTTGCCTGAAAAAAATTATTGGTGGACAAATGGTTTTTGGTCATCAGCGGAGTTCGTAGACTTTGGCAGCATGGGCAGCTAATTCCTCCCGTTCATGTTGGTGCTTTTGCCAGATAAAGTTCTTCAGTTCTCCCTTCAAACATCCGAAGCTTATGCGTTGACCAATCTGTTTTTGGACGCGCCATGCAGTTGTGTTCGATTCAAAGTTATAACGACAGTGAAATTCGTAAATATTTGTTTTAAGGTGCGAGAACACTGCGAAGAACAAGAACGTTGCGATTGTACGGGCATGTGGTAAGGACGTAAGCAAACCAGCCCTTTTGGCGCTTCGGCTGGGACCGTATGCTGAATGTTGGGGAGGGGATGGAGTCCCCGACGGTGGACGGACCACTTCAACTCGGTCCTTAGAACCGCCACAATTTGGTGCTTACCTCAGAACTAAGCCTTAAAGAGAGGACGGGTCCGTCCCCTCTCCAAGGCTTAGTCCTGGGGTGAGCAAACCAGCCCTTCTGGCGGAGCTGCTGGACCAGCTGCACCACTTGCGTCAGTACTCTCCTATCGTACCAACCGAGTTGAAGTAAACCGTCGACCGTTGGGGACCCCATCCCCTCCCCAACATTCAGCATACGGTCCCAGCCGAAACGCAAAGCTGTTTGCTTAGCCTCTGTGTAAGGACGTCAGGAGGTCCGCTCGACTAGAAGGCACTGGACTTCGAGGTTCAGGGGAAGCGCACCCTAGAAAATAGGTCAAGGGATGTCATAAAGAAAGAGCTCATTGACGTCAGGGAAACGGCAGAAGATGCCGTATGTGGACAATTTGGCGACATTCAACGAAATCAACAAGCTCTGGGACAGCACGGTATTGACGCTCAAAAGAGGAAGAAGAAGGAGGGTTACCCTGGCCCAACCCTAAGCACCCGCCCTCTCAAAAACCGCATACCTCCCACGCCACACCTAATCGGATGGAGAAAATTCCCAGTCAGTCGTTCCTGTCCACAGCCCGAAATTCGTGCAGTTCATTCCATCACTTCCCACCTTTCTCCCCAAACGTTCCGTCGACTCTCCTTTGATTACCAAGGTGTGCTCTTTTGCCTCTTCTCACTTAAGTCCTTGCAGCGGACTGCTCTGAATGTGCTGCCTCTTGTCAACAGCGATGACAAAGAGTAACAAAAAAGAAACAATATTAGCAAGTACTGGGAGAAATTATTCGCGTAAAGCAAACACTGGTGTAATAGCACACATTGGTTCCCGTGGTGAGATATGTCGTAATTACAGACTTAGCAGCACACGCGGAGATGGTCGTGAAAAATCGATATCTGAATGGTTTTTAATGCTCTCAATGCAACGTGATCCTGATTTCTGATAAACCGGCAATTATAACATGTCCTGTTATAGAAAACACTGTATGCTCCCATTTGCTTCATTCAAAACCTAAGAGTGGCTCGCTATGAAGGTGACCTGAGCAGAACTTACCACAAGATAGTCCCTCATGCTCTCGTTGTACGGGAATACTGACGTTGTTGCTCCAACTTCAGCGCCCATGTTGCAAATGGTTCCCATTCCTGTGGCGGAAATTGAGTCAACACCAGGACCAAAATACTCGATAATGGCCCCGGTTCCTCCCTTCACAGTCAAGATCTCGGAGACCTGAAGAAAAACATCCGAGCTTATCCTCAAGAAGATTTACCAAAACTGGTAGCACTCACCTTGAGAATGACATCCTTGGCTGATGTCCACCCGGATAACTTGCCCTTCAATCGGATTCCTATCACTTTCGGACATTTCAGTTCCCACGGTAAATTGGCCATCACGTCTACCGCATCGGCTCCGCCTACTCCAATGCAGAGACCACCCAGACCACCTATCAATAATCGGGTACTTAGGTAATATCAAGTAATAGGTAGGAAGTAGAGTAGAAGTAAGGTAGTAGTAGAGGAGTAAGGTACTAATAGGAGGCAATGTACCTCCATTAGGAGTATGAGAGTCAGTTCCGATGAGGAGGAGTCCAGGAAAAGCATAATTCTCTAAGAAGATCTGGTGAATGATCCCAGATCCTGGATTCCAGAATCCAATGCCGTACTTGTTTCCTGCGGATGACAAGAAATCGAATACTTCCTTATGGAGACTCTGAAATCATACAAAGTCATGATTTCCGGGAGAAGCTTGACATTACTCGTCATTAGCCAAAGCGATGGTTAGAAATTTCACGAGAAATCACCTACCTTGGCTCTGTGAATATCCTCCGTGCTTCCTTTCTGCGCTTGAACCAAGTGGTCGCAGTGAATAGTGGTTGGCACGGCCGTCTAAGAAGGCTGTCATCATCTATATATTCAAGGATATAAGATATATTCAAGGATGGCATTAAGGAAGTGAGCCCCTCAGGGTATGCGGTCTCATAGAAACTCCTTTTCCTGAGTTCTGAAGGGGCACATACACAGCCTAGAAGGGACCGTTTCCGCTAACCGGTTATATGAAGGCAAAAAATGACAAGGAATATTTTCGCCTGCGATTTTTGAGGGTCTGGACCTAAAAAAATTGGTGACGACTAATTAGGACAGCAGATCCTACGACTGCGCGGGACTGACGATAGGCAGAAGGAGAAGAAGAAGACTCCTTCAAGCGGATCAGTGCGTAAACTTGGTGAAAACTTGCAACTGAACTAGTCTGACAGAAGGACGAAAATCGCAATCACTTTCTTCCAGGTAGATATGGGAGTCGGATTCTGTAAAAGAACTATTCCAAATGTGAGTGAGTGGAACCGGTGGGGGAGGGGGAAGGTTGGAGGAGAGGAAGGACTTGTGGTTTGGGGCGCGGCGGTGGTGCTGGTCCTGTGGCAGCAATGTATGAAGCAAAGGGGCCTTTTACATAATTGTCAACATTGGTGAAGATCCCACTTATTAAGAGCATGGTCGTGGAAGAATGGACATTGTCGAATATTTTGGCTTTAGTGCTGAAGCAATTTCACCCTGGCACAAAATTCAACCAAACCAAGAACCTTAAAAGGGGTATTTCATGGGTCTATACTTTCGCGTTTTTCGACGAGACACCAAAAACCTGCTCGAATTCGGTAGGAAATGTTATGGACAGACGCTACAGTATACGTTGGAGTTTCGCTTTCCTTCGAACTCGAGTATTTTCCTTTAGATTCTTTGATAATTGGAGCACCCACTGCCCAGGTGAACCAATAAACTCTCAGCCAAGCGTTGTAAAAAATGCATTTCGCAAAACTTTTTCACTTGCCCTGGAACTAACATAAAATCGTTTTGGAAGAAAGAGGCAGGACCTAGTTGACTTCCTCCCCATTGTGAGGGCCACTCCACATGACGGAAGTCCAAGAATGAGTCTCCAGATGACCGTAGTAATGGAATCACCTTGGGTAATCCTGACGAGATAAATTGAAGCATGGCCATCTGTGCTGTCGCGTCTTGCATCGCCACGCGATCCGGTCGTAGCCGCAAATAAGACACTCCACGTTCGATTTTTTCAGTGGCTGGCTGATCCAAATGGCCATAGAGGATTTTCTCAGAAAGGGTCAATGGCCGTTTGAAACTGAAAAACACTATCGTCTAACCATAAATCTTCGGATTGCTATGTGTGTTTACCTTATCAATAGTCAGAAAGATTTTTGACAGAAGCTGACGAGGGCTCGGTAGGTTAAATGTATATTCTACAGTACGTAAGGTGGAAAGTGAAAACTGTAAGAATTAAAGGCAGCTCCGGGATTTCGCCACAGTAGTTATCCGTTCGGTGGGTAGGATAGTGCTGTTCACGGTGGATACCGATGCATAGTTCACCTGGCTCGAATTGAATGATTAGGGCGGCGGACTTTGCCTCCCTTCAGGTGGCCGTGAGAGGTAGCGATAACTCCCACACAGCGACCATGCATCTGAGCCCTCTCGTACAGCGTGCTCTTTCGAGCATATCTCTTCTCTGCGTACTATATGTCTCCGTCGCACCCATTCCGATCTCACAAACAGTTTTATCCTCTTAGTGTTTTTGGAAATTTCTTTGCTTTCTTCCTCACTTTTACTCAAATTCGCACCTCCACCTTCATTATTGAGCGCTATTATCATCAGCGTTATCTTGGGACATGCCTTTGAGGTTCCCTACCGGAGAATAACCAAAAGGGACTGCTGAAACCGCTTCTAATAAGGCCTTCCCTTTTACAGACCATTTTGTGATTGGAATATCTTACGTCCAAAAACGCTGGGCACTGCGACGAATGCTAGAAATCGAGGGACGAGTGGCTGTAGGGGCAACTGAGACACAGTTATAGCTCACGGTTAAAGGAATCCTTCGCGGAAAATTCTTGCATTCTTTCTTGACATGAATGTGTCAGTTGTGATCACTGGAAACAGCACACAAAGTTTCACGCATGAAGATTCGGTTTCCGAAGAGAAACAAACGTACAAAAACTACACGTTATGGACATCGAAGGTAATTCGGGCGGAGCCAAACGAGGCATGGAAAGAAGTTGGCCTTTGGCCGGCTACGTATCAGG